GAAGAAAGGGAACCCTAGTTCGTCACTGGTGGGAATGCGGATTGTTGCAGCCACAATGGAAAACAGTATGGAGTTTCCTCAAAATATTAAAAATGGAACTGCCATTTGACCCAGTGACCTCACTTCTTTGAATATAAGTATAGAAATCGAAAATTTTCTCTGTTCTTTAACTGATTACATTATAAATGGAAATATTTAGACTTAAATCATGAAACCCAAAATTACTTGCCTTAGTCTCCTGAAAACAATTCAAGGACCTTATAATACTTGATCTATATTCAGACTCTTTGCGAATTATATTATGTTAATTTTATCTGCTCTTTTTTTAATGCTAGAGTACATTATTATGATTTTTAGACAGTCAACATTTATTGTTTCACATATCTATTACAGTTTTGGATCTGCATTCACTTTTATAGTGCAGACATTATATTTGGGCTCTCTTTATTTTTGCCTAAAGTAAAATAGAGTAGACTTGTCTATATGCAATCTTCTCAAAGGGAGGGGTTAGGGGGTGTGGGAAGAGATTAACCAAAGATCTTATATGGACACAGACAATAGGGTGGTGAAGGCCTGAGGTGGGACAGGAACCAGGTGGAGGGGGACAATAGGCGGGAAAAGGACACTGTAATACTCTCAACAATAAAGATTTAAAAATATGAGACTTTTTTTATATTTTATTGATTTTTTGCAGAGAGGAAAAGAGAGGAATAGAGAGTCAGAAACATCGATGAGAGAGAAACATCGATTAGCTGCCTCCTGCACACCCACTAACTGGGGATGTGCCTGCAACCAAGGTACATGCCCTTGACCGGAATCGAACCTGGGACCCTTCAGTCTGCAGGCTGATGCTCTATCCACTGAGCCAAACTGGCTAGGGCGAGACTTTTCTTTTTAAGAATTTCCTCTAGTCCACCAAGCTGAGCACACTTTGTGCCAAATAAACACACTTTCAACAAGATGGTTGGTCATTTTTTCTGGAGTTAAAATAAGAGAACATGCAAAAATTTCATTGCAGTTCAAATCTTATTAACCTCCCTCAGTTTAAGAACTCATTTTAATAATTCTTCCTTTACCAATATTACACTTTTGTGACTTACAGTTATAAAATACATTTTTAAATATACTTTTTTAATAGAACACTACTGGTTTTTATTTGACACAGAACACAATATGACTGCAGGAATAGAAAACTGAAAAGGCAAAGCAGAAAAGACCCGGTTCTTTCTAACTTACTATTAAGTAACAGGAGGGCACGTCATTAAATGAATTAACACAGTTGAGCTTGATGGAAGAATATTTTTGGAATTTTCACTCTCTGTTGTCCAGTGGATGCATGTGCCGTGTTTTGAGCCCAGAGAGATGTAATGGAGGTGAAAGGTATGATGACAGATTTCCCATGCATGGGTGCACTTTTCAGAAGAGGCCGATGCCTGGTGAGCCTGCATTCTATGCAAAGACTCACAATATGGTTCCTGAAGATGGCACAGTTATCAACCACAGTGTCCCAGGCCCAGAGGGCTACTGCATTCCACTTTTTCACTTCAAAGCACTTCTTACCAGTGCGCTGTGTGTGCCTCTCAGCATGTCCAGATCCATTGTTGCCACCATGTTGGAAACACATAGTCTGCATAAGATAATTTTTCTTGCAAATAATTTCCCACCATGGAGTATGCGCAGAATTACAAGTATGTTACTTGTGGGTCTAGGCAGGGAGCTCATTTGTCACCAGTTATTCTTTTCCATTTACTGTTTAGATAACAGATGTGGGTAACTCAACCTTAAATCTTACAGTTGTGTACAATGCCTTAGTGGATAGATAACAACAGAATTCAGGAAGGAACCTGAAATCTCTGAAAGACCAGTTAAGCCTATAGTGGTGGGGCTGTAATATGCCTTCTAAGCTATAGCATCAGCCTCTTAAATGATTTTTTAAAAATTGGGATACAGTTCATATACCATACAATTCACCTATTTAAAGTGGGGTTTTTTTTTCATGTGTGAAACCATCACCACTCAAATTTAGACCACCTTTATCATCTTGAAAGTGAAACCTAGTACACTTTAGCTTTTACCTTCCTGTTCCCCACACACTCTTCCCCAACCCTAAGCAACCACCTCTCTTCTCATGTTTATGAATTTGGCTATTTTGGACATTTCATATAAACGGAACTTGGCTAGTGTCTAGGATTTACCTCCTACTTTTGTATATTTGCTCATTCCCTTCCTTTGCTTTAAAATATCTTTCCTCCAATCACTCTTTTTTCAAAATGTTGTCATTCTTTAAGACCCAACAGAAATAAGACTTTTCTATGAAGTCATCTATAAACCTTCCTAACCCTTCCTAATATAAATAACTGTTGCTTTTGTAGACACAAGCACTTTTTTTCTACCATTGTTTCTTAACACTGATCACTTCTTGCTTTATTTTATATTTACCTCCTTCAAAGTTTAGATTATCCAAAAATGAGACCGTTATTTGTTCACATTTAAATATGCAAAGGCAATGAGTCTCACAATTATGTTACATGTACCAGTGAAATGTACCACTATGTATTGCTGGAAAACAATAGCAGTGCCAAAATTAAAAATTCCCAAATATAGACAAGTTATAAAGACTGATAAACTAATATCACACATTATGATTATGTTACAACCATGAAAATAAGAAGTCTAAGATATAATCTCATATTAAAAGACAAACATTCCCATGAGAACATAATCAGTAATATTTTATCATATATTAAAGAAGGAAATTTCAATTTTCAGATTTTTAATTTATGTTATGATATTCTATTCAATGTAACAGCTTTCTTGGAACAAGTATTTCATTTTAGTAATCTACTTATGATAAATCTATAAAAATAAATCTAACATCTAGGTGCTGATACTTTGTTTTTACTATGTTGTCAAAGAGCCGATTTCAACCAAACATATTGATGAAAGTGGAATTAACATTTAAAAGTCTTTGAGGAGAAACCAAGATGGCGGCATAGGTAAACACCAGAAATTGCTGCCTCCTACAACAACTTCAAAAATACAATGAAAAGACAAAACGGACATCATCCAGAACTACAGGAAGGCTGGCTGAGTGGAAATTCTACAACTAGAAGGAAAGAGAAAAGCACACTGAGGCTCAGAGGAGCTGCAGAAGTAAAGTGCAGAGGTACGGAGGCTCGAGCATGCACGGGGAAAAGGGCTGGCACCTGAGGGCGCGGCTGTCTTTCTGAATTGGGAGGGAGTCACAAGCCCCTGACTGCTCTGAACTCCAGTTCCCGGAAGTCTCTGGGGACCCAGGACTCATACAGGAAGAAACTGGACTGTCTGGCAGCAGGCAGAACTTGGAACTTGAGGGTGGCTTTCTCTCAGAGGTGCTTGCAGCAATTACCAGGACACTGAGATGAGGGGGCCCTTAGTGCAGGGCTGAGGAGCAGCTATAGCTGCGTGCTCTGCCCAGTTGATTCCCTGAGACCCCGCCCCACCCAGGCTGCGGCAGAGGCTTCTGCC